CAGCAGCCACAAAATTAAAAGACACCTGCTTCTTTGGAGGAAAGCAATGACAAACCTAGACAGCATCTTAAAAAGCAAAGACATCACCTTGCCGACAAAGATCCACATAGTCAAAGCTATGGTTTTTCCAGTAGTGATGCATGGAAGTGAGAGCTAGACTATAAAGAAGGCTGTCTGCCAAAGAATTGATGCTTTAGAATTGTGGTGCTGGAGGAGACTCTTGAGAGTCCCCTAGACTACAAGGAGAACAAACCTATGCATTTTGAAGGACATCACCCCTGAGTGCTCACTGGAAGGACAGATCTTGAAGTTGAGGCTCCAATACTTTGGCCATCTCATGAGAAGAGAAATCTCCCTGGAAAAGACCCTGATGTTGGGAAAGCAAGAGGAGAAGGGGACAACAGAGAACGAGATGCATGGACAGTGTCATGGAAGCTCCCAACATGAATTTGACCAAACTCCGGGCAGCAGTGGAAGAGAGGAGGGCCTGGCGTGCTCTGGTCCATGGGGTCATGAAGAGTTGGACACAACTTAATGACTAAACAACAACAACAAATAAAAATTCATCCACAAACACTTCACCAACTGATGTACTGCAAAGCCAGCAGGGAGTCTTATCACCCAACTTGAAAAATAAACCATTCTTAGACATTTGGGGAAATAACATGTACAAAAAGAGACTGTAGTAACATTTTTGCCTGTATAAAAAGAGATTATGTGTGCTATTCAGAGAACCCAAGAAGTTTTCTATCTCCTGTGATGTTTTAAAATGGCTTAGCAAAGGGAATGCCATATGTCTTTCCACAAGAAAGCAATCTTTTCACAGCTACAACATTAAAAGCCTGCAAATTGGTTTCTGCACTCTCATCTGATTTAATTTATTTCTGAGCAAACTGAATAATATGTTTCGAGTAGATAGGGGCAGGGATTTTAAGCTTTTGTGAGGCAAAACAGTTCTTTGGAAATGGCTATTGTTCTGAATAAAAGACGTTTCATAGAGACGAAAAGACCTGCACACAAGTTTATGATCTTGCAAAGAAATAGATGTTTGTGCCAAAATCAGAACAAAATTTTACAGCTGATGTGTTGAGATTCCCTGACCTGATATCAGCCAGATGGAAAACCAAAACAGTGATCTAGAAATGTATGCGAACTATAGCTGTGAGGTGTGAAATGTGTTTTAGATAGCATATAAAATCAGTACACCGGTTAGACTTCAGCTTCTTTTGATGCAGGTAGAATTGCTCTGTTTTAATTCATTTTCAGTGTATATCAGTAGGTACTCGAAAGGAACCAAAGTGAGCCTTCACCTGTCAGGGCTCCTTCTGCTGTCAATTTGCGTATAGTTAAGAGCAATGTGGACAGCAATTAAACAAATTGTTTCACATTCGTTCACAGGGAGCCTCTTTCATTTTTTGTGTTTTGTGAATCAGTCCTTTTGTGTTACACAAATGGGAAGATATATTCTGCCTTATTTCATTTCAACTTTCCTGTTTGTGTTCTTGGTACTCCAAAAGCCCTAAGCAATGGTCTCTAGCCTTGGGCCTCCAGATGTTCTTGGACTCCAACTCCCAGAAGCCTTCACCATCACCTCTGCTGGCCAGGATTTCTGGGAGCTGAAGTCCAAGAACATCTGGAGGCCCAAGGTTGGGGACCACTGCGGCCTAAAGAACCTCGAAAAACTACCCTTAAAAAAGCAAAGGCAGGGCAACAGAGAATTAATGTACTTCAAAAGAAGGCAACAGTAATTTAGAAAGAATAATAAACTCCCTCACCAAAATTTACACATTTAACTAAATAAATACAAAGTAAATTAACCAAATAATTTTTTTTAAAAATCGAACAGGGAAAGCAGCCACCTCCCTAGGAAAAACCAGCACAAAACAAAATCAAGCCATATAGCCTCCTCTCCCCAAAATCAAGAGAAGCAATCAAGCAAATAAAGAGAAAACAAGTACAATCAAAGGCACTGCAACTCAAATTAGTAGAATATGGAGAGATTTCTCTCTTCCCTGCCACTGCTTGAGGTCTTCTCTTCTTTGAGTCCTCCAAAAGGCAGCACGAGGCAGGCCAGAACCTAAGCACCAGCAAAACTGATTTTTTTTAAAAGAGAGAAGATCCTCCCCCCGCCCCCCGCAAAAAGAGGAAAAAAATCTGCAAAGAAATTGAGAGTTTTCCAAAAGTAATCCGAAAGAGGCAGACTGGCAAAGGAAAGCTATTTGGCAGCAGTAAAAATAATCCAAAGGGAAGGGAAAATATGCCTCTAAAAATTAAGAAAAAAGACAGAGAGACTGAGAGAGAGAGAGAGAGAGAGGAAGGAAGAAATCCAAGATGGAGGCACAGGTAACAAAAACAGTCCAGGATGGAGGACACCAGATGCTCAGTGCACAAAATCCTCACCCACAATGCAGGACCGAAACAAAAAGAACATTTCTCATTGGTTTCTAGGTCCTTCTAACGAAAGGTTACATGAAAGAGGGAAACAGGAAAGGACATTAAGCATTTGTGTACCTCTATTTCATCAACGTGAATCATTCATGTTTTAGGAGACTCTCTTTCGGTAATCGAAAAAAGAACACAAACATAAAAAAGAGGGACTCCGGCATTTCCCCCCTTTCATGTGAACATGAATGGCCCATTCCTAATATCTAAGGCAGAAAAGCCGACATGTGCCTCTCCCAAACAGTATGACGCTAATCATAGAACTCTTCTGTTACTCTCAGTTTCTGCTGCTTGGATGAACAATCTGAGTCGCTTTGTTTAATATGGTAGTAAGGCTGGGCCTGCACACAAACCTTGCCAATGAGAAACGGAGATATATATGGTGTGTGTGTGTGTCTGTGTGTTGTCTCTTTCGTGTGTGTGTCTGTGTGTGTTTGTGAGATATATATGGGGTGTGTGTGTGTGTGTGTGTGTTGTCTCTTTCGTGTGTGTGTCTGTGTGTGTTTGTGTGTGTGTGTGTGTGTGTGGTCTCTTTCCTGTGGCTGATCAGTGTAAATAAAACTAATAGCAGTGAAATTTTTGCACTGGGTATTGAAACAACTGCTAGAAAGCTCCATCTCTAAATTCAGGAGAAACAGATGTAAGAGGTGTAAACTTAGTTTGTAAATTTAGATAAATGTTTAAGCGAATACAATTAATTTTAAAATACCTTTAATGAAACTTTATTCTGTGTGAGATGTACAAACTAAGTTTCTAAAAATGAACTAGAGTAATGCACCTCTGTAACACAGTAGAGAATTTGCAAGCAGAATTTGCTTTATACACTATCTTCTAGCTGGCTCGGTAACTCAGAGAATTAGATAGAGCCAGATGTTGGGAGTTCAGTTTCCCACTGTGCATTCTAGAAAAGCCACCTTTTACGGCCTTCGGCAAATTGCACAGTCCCAGGGCACCCCGCGAAGAAGGGAATGGTAAACCACTTCTGAGTACTCTCTACCTAGAAAATCCTGAAAAGGGTCATGTAAGTCAGAATTGACTTGATGACACACCATTATTATTAGTATTATATCCTCTAGCTCCCCCTGCTGGAATTTTGTTTTTGTTTGCACAGAGATCTATTCCAAACCCAGCCTAGACAAAGCAAGCCATAAATTTTCATACTCTGTAACTTCATAGTAAGTTCTTGACAGGTTAAAAAAATATTAGAACTCCACAATTACATTAAACACTAGAGGTCTGGCTTAATAGGGCTGCCATATTCCAGTGCTCCAAATCCAAGTAGACAATGTTTGGCATAATATGCAAATTTCCATATTATATTATCACATACATTAATACCTGCAATTCTTTTCCTACCAGTATGTTTAATGCTTAGCACCATTTCTATAATTAGCACTGATCTGAGAGAGGCAGCGTAATGCACACCCTAGAGTGATGGAGTTGGAATAAACAGCAAATGTGTGTTTGCTCACAAAGCTTGTTTGGATTCCTTGGGCCAATCAGCAGGTTTCAGACAAGACTATCCTACAGGGTGATCGTGGGGATTAATGGGGAGAGGGAAACCCTGTAAAGTTGTCATATATATTCTCCTCAAGTCATTGTCATTCTTTGCTTTCAGTAGAAACTGATGGCAAAAAGCCCTGCAAATCCATGAGAACTGTCCCAAGAACCCTCCACCAATGTCACACTGCCATCTGATTTTCAGGGGGGAAAACATAGTGGAAAGTGATGTCAGATTGCAAGGATCACTGGGGGAAATATCAGGTGTGAGTTCCTTCAGAGATACAGATTCAGTAGTTTAACTTCCTTTGTTCCGTTTGACTTTTTGTCATAGTATATCTGCTGATCAGCTCAGGTCTGCTAGGATGTCTGGACTACCACATAATTGCAATTTGTTAATGATCACCTGAAATGAAAAATGTGGTGTTGTTTCCCCCCCCTATTTTCATGTGCAACTGCTTACACCCTATCAACCAAACAGGTACACTAAGTGATGCAAAGCTCTCATGGATATGATGATTCAGTGTTGCAGGGTGTATCCTATCATATTTTATTTCTTCCCTTTTTTAAAAAATTAAACACAGTGAAGTACCAGCATTGATCATTCCCAAACTGTGGGTAATTTACAATATCGCTGTACCCAGTGTCAGCTAGTGTCATTATCAGCTGCAGCCAATGCTCATGAGGTCTACTGTATTATCTTAAAGACCAAATTGATTAAGTGAGCCTTGCAGCCTTCAGGGGCCAGAAATTAAACTGCTAAAACAAGCCACTGAAGACAGTTAACATTTACAACCAATCTTACCCTATTTTTGCTTTTCAAAAGGTAATTCCCTAGATTAAATTTCTTCAGTCCCCAAATGTATAGAAGTTTGGTTCAAACCAGTCATTGCAATTCCTCGTACTAGGATATTTGCAATGTACGCTGTTGACAATACTGCCTCTTTAAACACCGCCTGTCTTTTCCATTTGGGATTGGTTAGTTCTCTGTTCACAGTTCACACTGTGCCATATTATTAGTTACTGTTCTCACTGTAAATATCTTTCTTCTTTCATAGGGCCACGCAAATAAAGACCTACTCCTGGGATAATGCCCAAGTCATTCTGGTCGGGAACAAGTGCGATATGGAGGATGAGAGAGTGATTCCTTTTGAAAAAGGGAAACATCTGGCTGATCAGTTGGGTACATGTTAAAAGCTTCTCTTTTTCTCCCCCACCTTTCCCCCACTAGTCTCAGACTTATTTTTTTTCCACTTTTCTCTGATAGCTACTTTTTTTTACTGCAACTATAATTTATAATTATAATCAACTCAACTAATTATCTGACCATGTTTAAGGGAACCAGAGTTTATAATGCAAGCGGTTATGAAACTATGGAATGTTTGGCCCTAAAGATGTTAACGAATTGCATCTCTCACCACGCCTCACCATTGGGTAGGGCCGATAGAAGAGCAATTCTGTTATTCCACTTCAGCCCCCCCAACAACCCTTATTGGATAAGACAGGCTGAAAGGCTGTAGGCTAAATCTGATTGTTAGTCCTATCTAGAATAGACCATTGAATGAATGGACCTCATTAAATCAAGACCTAATGCTTATGTCAGTTTTATTTATCCCCGTGACTGAACAACTGGAGAGAACATTCTTTTTTGTGGCCTCTGTGAATGCAAACAAATGGGTTGTTCTGCACCTGGCTGAATGTCTCGGAAGATTTTAGAGCTTAAAAGTACAAAGTTAGTGGGATGTTCCCCTGTGGAGCACTAGAATCTTCCAAGACATTCAGCGCAGGCACAGAACAACTCATTTGTGTGACTTCACAGAGGACCACCAGAAGAATTATGGTTATAGGTAAGTAACCTCTTTTTTTTTAATAACAAAACTGAACCTTGAACACAGATTTCCAAAATCCAGGCCTATACCCCTATTCATATAAAGATGCTAGGTCTCCATAGCCATTTTCTTTTGAGGGGATATTATTTTCCCCTGTATTAGATACACAATGTTTGTGCTGGATGGTAGGGGTGAAGATGGGAAGTAATATGAGGAAGCAGTGATTTGCTATTAGGACCACTGTGGGGGATTTTTTGTGTGTGCATATTTCATAAGTGGCCCTTGGCTACTGTCTGTGATTTCATTTAAAAAGAGTTTGTGACAGGTTCTTAACATCAGTACAACTAACTTCTACAACAAAGTTATTTCCTCAGTATTTAGCAAGGGAGGAAACCTAAGCTACAGCTCTAGCCATCCCTTCCCATTGGCTATGCTGGCTGGGGCTTCTGGAGTCAAAAGCTAACATTTTCTAATGTGTGCTTTATTCAGACAAAACCAGTAGTGCATCACTTAAGAGTGTCACTACACTGCAGTTAACCACAGAATTTGTGGCAGAGTTGACACAGTTAAATTTCCTATCAACTACATAATGCATGATTAATTGTGAGTAAGCCTAGTCTTTTTTCATGGTCATTTGTTGCTTTTTGCTCCACTAGCAGGGGCTAACTTTTTCTGTAGTGGTTTCACTCACGTCACTTTCTTTTGGCTTGTCCGATTGTCTATATCAGTCCAAAGGGGCAGAGGTGGGGATGTCATAGGGTGACATTAGTGGTAGGATACCTTTTATATTTCTTTCTTTCTTTCTTTTTCTTTCTTTCTTTCAACTGCAGTGCCTATCTGACACAGTGGTTTACTAGAAAAGCATAATAAAACATTTGTTCAGAGGAGAGACAAGCTATTCACATGAGGTGAATGTTCCTCCTGTGCTGGTACACCCTTCAGCAGAGCAAGGCATGCCAGTACAGTGGAAGCGACGCCCCCCCTCAAGTGAATGCCTCTTGTCTCTCTTCTGAACAATTTCTTAAATTATGCTATCCAGTTCATCACTATGTAATTTACCTTTAAAAAAAAAAAAAAAGGAGGGCAAGAAGCAGTGTTAGTGGCAGAAGGGGGTGAGCAACTTGTGATCTTGGTGAGAATTGCCATGGATTGAGGTGTGGTGTGGACTCCTGCCCTGAAAATTGTCTGGGAAAACTAAACATTCAGTGTGAATGACAACAGTGATTTAACTGCCATAAGAAACTCTCAAATCAGCCCGAGACAACCTCCCTATCTAGTTACACCATTAATGTGTGCCTCAGAACATGGCCCAGGATCTTCAATTATGGGTGCCTGTGGTTCTATGTAGGAAAAGTTAGATTTTTTTAAAAAAAAATTTACTATAAATTCCATAATCACACAACTAGGAATTCCATTTGCCACACTCATTGTGAAATTGTGGGAGCTGTAGCCTAAAAAGTAATTTTCCGAGCCTGGTTTTATGGTGGCAGTTGCACAGCTATTCCTGAAAAGGCAAGTGAGTACCAAAAAGGAAACTGCAGACCGACATATTCAGCTAACTTGATCCCAACCTTATCCTTCCAACTTCTTAGAATGTAAGGCTGGAGTTAGCAGTGCATTCCTTCCTTTAGCTTTCTGGTCAAGGATGGTATAAAACATATGCAAAGCCTACAGGACTGAGTACTTAGGAAATACTTTCCTCTCTCACCCCATAAACACTAGGGCTGTTTCCTCATGCACTGCAAAGAATGTCCAGTCTTTTTCATTTCTAGTTCAGACTTCAGACTAACGCACTTCCTCCTCTAAACACACAATATATTCATTTGTCCTACTTTCTGTTTTGACGACAGCTTCCCTATTTATGTCCCTAGCACCAATTTCCTGTTTCAGTCTCTATCAACTTCAAGGCATGAGTCATCAGTTTTAAAGCTGTTCTCTGTTCTGTCCCTACCTAAATGCATGCTCTCTCATCTCATCCTGCACTTCATAGGGTCCCTCTGGCAGACCTACTTCCCTCTTATTCTGCTAACATTTCCAAAGTCTTATTCCAACAGTCATATTGCTGTTTGCCTACTACTTTGCAGAAAACACACTGCACTGCCCACCAGACAGCTGACCAGTCAAAGTTCTGAGTGCAGGTTTAATCTGCAAGGCAGCCTGGAATAGGTAATTATCACAGAAAAAATACAGTTCTATCAGATGCCCACACTCTTTATTTGGAACAACTGGTCCAAAGCAGCCCTGATAAAAATCTTGAGGAATGATTTCCATTCAATTATTATTGTTTTTCTTTCCTAAACCTTTGAACACTTGAACATTTAGCTACATAAAAACCAACATTATAGTTCCCACAACAGCAGATGGTTTGATCTGGTTCTCTGCTTTGTATTTTAGTATGATTTTTTCTTAGGAAACCTTTCAATTTTTAGAGGACATCATAAAATATATAATGCATGCCTAACCTTCTTTAGAAGTAGTCAATAATCAAGACAACTGTGTTGGCTTATTTGGCAGTGAATTTTTCAGCATGTTCATGGGACTTACTTAACTCCCCACTTTTATTTTTAAAAATTCTCATGTTAATTCCAGTTCTTGATTCTCAAATGAACTCTTTTTAATTGAAGGATGTGTGGCATTGTTGAAAGTAAAAATGGGGTTATAATCAAAGTTTATTCTCAACTTTAGCTGGTTCCCAGGGGAGACGACTGAGCTGAGATGTTCTCATTTTTAATGAGCTGACTATTAAAATCTTTTCCTATTTCCTTTGATAACAACTACAGGTTTGCCTTTAACCAGACCCAAATATTATAAGATAGCTACAATATATAAGTTCTTTGCAAACTTTTACATTTTATTCACTATTATAGACTACAGCTCCAATTACCCGATACCCATGAAGGGTTTACATATTTTTATACAGAGGCACAGGGTCAGTATAAAGTAAGTAGTGGTCCATTGGTAGATCTTTAACTGTTGATTGCTTGGGATCCTTACAAATAATACTTTTAAATGATTTGGAAAGGCATTCATTCCATTTTTAAAAACAGAATGCATACACAAATACGTCAGAAATTTGAAAGAAGATCTTGAATGTGCATTCTTACTTTGTAAGCTCAGAACACCTCAGTAGATCACTGAACTTTGAGGGAAGATGCATATAGATAATTTAATTTGGCACATGAGTAGAACAGTACATCTAAGCTGAGGACCATTTACTTTGAAAGTGTTTTTTTTTTCATTAAAAAAACCATAGCTCTTCTGTGAGCTATGATGATCTCAGAAGATACAAACCAGTGCAGACTTTCTTAGGTGGTCTGAAATGCAGAGGTTATTCAATTAAGAATCCAACTGTTTTTGATCTGACAGGAAAATCAAAGTAAAACTAATGACCAGATACTGATTTCTGTTCTCCCCCCCCCCCCAATAAATACAAAAAACCTCAAAGGGGTCAGGAAAAACAAAGGAAAACTAATGACCAGATACTGATTTCTGTTCCCCCCCCCCCCCATATATAAAAAATACCTGTACAGGGTTTGATTATTTTGAAGCTAGTGCCAAGGAGAACATCAACGTGAGACAGGTCTTTGAGCGCCTTGTCGACATCATCTGTGAGAAGATGTCAGAGGGTGTGGAGTCAGAGGCTGCTAGGACTACAGCTGGGAAAAACGTCCACCTCACATACAACCCACCACCACTGCAGCAGAAGTGCTCCTGTTAGTGTACCAAAACCTCCATGTAAGCAGTTGAGGGGTGGAATACTCTGTACTTTCACATACTGTCTTTAAAAAGATCTGCTTCAGTACCAGTGGAGCTGGATATGTTTGTTCAATGTCTGCCAAAGTCAGCTATCTATTTTACTCAATGAATAGTATAATGTTGCAAACACAGCTAATGGTACAGTGAAGAGTTATACCAAGGTTTAAATATTTTGTATAGCCTCATATATTTCTGGAGAGTTCTTGATGTTACTGTAATTTTGCTGCTAGCCAGGTAATTATGACCTAGGCACACTTCTTTATCTGCTAATTAGAAGTCATTGTTAAGACTTAGCTGTGTTTCCGTTTTGTTATTGTTTTTTAAATAAACAACAGCAGTTTGATTACCTGACATACAATAATTTAGATTAGCATTTTCCATTTGGTGCTCAGTCACTCCAGGTCATCCAGATTAGCACTGGTAGGAGAAAAGTAAAAGCTGGCAAGGCAAAGATGCGTATTTAATGCATGTAAGGAAACAGAAGGACAATTTATAATAAACTTCCAAACTTAAATCACTCCTATGAAACTTTATACAGTATTTTCAACTCAGGGGTACAACTGCTGCATTTCATAGCAGACAAGCATCTGTGATACAGTTAGCATATTTTCCTCATTCTGTTAGCCCCGTTTCATCCTCTCTGTAACCTACAGGGTGCTCTCTTTTCTTGTTCTGCATCACCATTTGTTTTTCCATGGTCCCCCGCCTCTTATTTTTCCTTGCATACTGCAAAGCACACATACTCGTCTGTCTCTGTACAACCACAAATTCACAGCTTTTGTTTCTATTTCTTCTTCTTCTTTTCTTTAGCATTTTTTTTTTTGGTTCTCTTGTCTCTCCTGCACTTTCCCCTCCCAAATGTAATGCTCTTTTCCGTATTTGGAAAACATGGAAAACCTACGCCAAGGCTTTCCCTCTCCCAAAAGCTAACAGACTGAGGAAGTGTGTGATGTCGCATAGCTGAGTGCAACAGGGTCAGGGAAGGTGGTGCTGACTCTGCCATATGCTTCTGAATCATAGAATAGTGAAGTTAGAAGGAGCCTATAAGTGCATCAAGTCCAACCCCCTGCTCAATGCAGGAATACAAATCAAAAGACATCTGCCATGTGGTTGTCTAAATTTCTTTTGAATGCCTCCCAGTGCTGGAGCACTCACCACCTCTTGAGGTAATTGGTTCCACCATCTTACTGATGAATGCAGGGAAGTGAAAAATAAGACAGCAAAGCAAGATACATATTTGACTGCTTCCACTTTTAATGGGCTAGTGGACTTCAGATGTTTTTACAAATGAAAAGGCTTTTAACTGCTGGAATTAGGAAGGGCAGCAGAAGTTGCAAGTAACCTATGGCTCTTACACTGTAGCTATGAAGAAAACTTGCTTAAGCCCCATATTAAGAGGGCAAGATCACAAAGTCACCAAGAGGATTAGGTATTGTCAATAGTCAACTGTTTATTAAAAAGCTATTATGGGATTTTAAAAATCAAAATATATTCTGCAAAATTTAAAAATGTGAAAATTCTTTAAAAGTCGACACTTACACCACAAAGCACTGAGTAGCTTAAGAAATGGGGAATCTAAAAGCTGCTGTCCATGCATAGAACACTAATTTTGAGCCATGGTCACAAATGGATTAGAAAATGAATGAACAATCCCTAAGGACACTCAACCAGTTACTGGATAAACTGCTGCTGTTTCTCCACAGGTGTATATTCAAACTGTCCTGTATTCTGTTTCATATTTTAAACTTTTTGTATTTGTGGAAGTGACCTTATATTTTATTTTATTTGCCATGTTAATATCTAGCATTTGCTTTAATGAGCCCTAGGCATTGTTCATGGCTTTCCCCTTAAAATGTTCCCCTTGCATGATAATTCTATTTAGGAAGGTTAGGCTGAGAGAATGATGTATAATTTCCCGGGTCAACATCAGCCAACACATGACACAAAGAAATGACAAGAAAATAAGGTCCTTCAAGTCCTGCACAAAAAGACACAACATAGGATCTATATCACCTTAAAAGACATATAGGACTGTACTACACATGGATTCCAAGCATGGGGCAGTCTTTAAGCTTTAGACTACAGTCAATGTCAAGTGCATTCCTACATGTCTATTCCAAAGAGAATCCTACTGACTTCAATGGGACTTACCCTCAGAAAATTCCAGCCTCCAGAGGTCTGTGGCTGCAACCACAACATCTATCTCATTTTTTTCTTATAAAATATAGAGTACTGAAAAGAAAAGGTGCCCTTGTACTCAATAGCGGCCAGTTTTTTAATTTATAGATGTTTTAATTTGAAGTGTTGGCAACTGAAGGGTGCAAGGAGGTGCCTTAAATTAAACATACAAAACCTGCCCCCAAGATGACACTGGGTGCTCCTAGGGGGAGTACACAGAACTCCTTGGATTCAGTCTTAATGGCACACCAAAAAACGAACTTCACTTAATAGGTTGTCTGTGTGTGTGTGTGTGTGTGTGTGCGCGCGCGCGCGTGCGCGTGCGTGTGTGTGTGTAGCGTACACATAAACAGGTGCAGAAGAAATTTTGTAAGAGCTCAGTTCAAATGCTACGGAAATGTAAACAATATAATGGACTACATCAGTGATCCCCAACCTTGGGCCTCTAGATGTTCGTGGACTTCAACTCCCAGAAATCCTGGCCAGCCGAGGTGGTGGTGAAGGCTTCCGGGAGTTGTAGTCCAAGAACATCTGGAGGCCCAAGCTTGGGGACCACTGGACTACATCATTCAGAATAAGCACAGGGATGGTTTAGAAAAAGTGTGAATGTGTCAGTACTGTTCAGCTCAGACTTAACACAGACAAACTCCAAGGTCACTGAAGACACTTCCTGTCCATATCCTCTCCTCTCACTCAAATCAGCTCCACTCAGGAACTTGCCCTTCTAGTTTATAGGATTATGCATTTCAAAGTGGCTGATCATTTTATCTGACAAAGGCTGCAATTCTATATGTAGTTATTTGGAAGCTCGTATTACTGGTCTGAAAGTTTCATGAAGTAAGAAAATTATGGGGCGTTTCTGAAAATATGTTCATAGCACTGCACACTAATGCTGCTCTCCTGAACTGAATTCTCAGAGAATAAGTCCTACAGCCCCAGTTAATTTACTGTTGAATAGAAATATACAAGTTGGCATAGTTCACACGCTCTCATTAACACATGTGTATCCAACTATACTTATGCTCAGTAGTAAAATTAAATGTGAAAGTAAATGTGTTTTTAGTAGATATTTTAATTGTTCTAATTTTTGTCTGAAAAAAATCAATTTTCTTGTATTCATATGTTGGTGTTTAGAAGGCACTGGCCCATGTAGTGACTGATTGAACATATTGTTCTTAATTATGGCAAAATAAAACATGTTATTTAGTAACTTGATGTTATCTGTGTATTAATTTAGATGGCTATTAAGATACAAATGACTGACTCAAAGAGAAACATTATTTCAGATTTGCAGCTTGCAATTCTACGGTTACAGCAAATGGCAGCAATTTTTCTTATAAGAATTGCTACAGATATATAGTGTAAGGCAGTGATGGTGAACCTTTTTGAGCCCAAACTGCAACAGAAAAACAACTTATTTATTTCAAAGTTCCAATACTGCAATTAAAACCCGAATGCTGAGGTTTTAGTTTAGAAAAAAGAACTGCTCCTGCACTGCAAGGGTTAAATGCTTGTTTTCCCCCCCTCAGGGCAGTACAGTGGTGCCTCGCTTAACGAGCGCACCGTTTAATGAAGAATCCACACAGCGACACCTTTTTTGCAATCGCTAATGCAATCGCATTGCGACATTCTGAATGGCAAAACATCGCATTGCGATGATCGGTAAGCGTTTCGCTTACCGATGTTTGCATTGTGATGTTCTAAAAACAGCTGATCGGCGGTTCCAAAATGGCCACCGGACGAAAAAAATGGCCGCCCACTCTGTTTTCGCGCCTTGCCCTCGCTTACCGGGCGGTGAAAATGGTGGCCGGATGGGGGAATCTTCGCATAGCAGTGAGTTTTCACTCCATAGGAACTCATTAAACGGAGTTTAATGCGTTCCTATGGGTTTTCCCCCCCGCATAGCGACAAATCCGATTAGCGATGTTAATCCTGGAACGGATTAAAGTCGCTATGTGGGGCACCACTGTATTAACAAATAAATACTTACTGGTCCTCCAATTCCCTCATTGGGCTAGACTGGTCATGGTCGCCATGGCACCCCTCCGCTGGATCACTGCCCCAGCAGAGGGGAGTGCCAAAATTCAGGATGGGAGGACAGGTATTTCTCTATGGCGACTTATGGCTCGTGTTCCCACAGAGAGGGCTCTGTGTGCCAGCTGTGGCATGCCTGCCATAGGTTTGCCATCACTGGTGTAAGGTAACAGAGGCAACACTAAGTATTATAAGCCGCAATATGATATGTCCATGTACATTATTTGAGTTATGAACACCTGGACTTAGGAAAAGGTTGTTTCACTGGCATTATGAAAAAATATTGTTGCTATCATCTTCTCTGTAGAAGGAGTCACTGGAACCTCCCAAAATAAAGCACATTGGATGTAGGGATGCATGGAGCAAATCGTGTCATCATGAACAATAAATAATTGGTATAGGGATCATGCAACAAGGAACTTCAGAGCATCCAGTTGGGATGAGCCCCAGAAGAAAAAAGAAGAGTCTGGGCAAGAGTGGAAAAGGAAGGAAAAAAATTCACCAACGGTCCATGATGGGTTTCACTTGAGAAGGGCTACAGCTCAAATGCAGCCTAGTTGCTTCTTTGTTTTACTTTATGTCTTAGTAATTGTGAATGCACATTTCTGTCCCCCTACTGCTAAGCAGCCGTGTATAGGATTACATTACAAAATGAACTCAAAGCTATGGCAGGAAGAAGGAAGAAGTATCTGGGAGGTTCTGGAGACTAGCTTACAGCTGAATTTGAACACTGTTAACAGCAAGTCCCAAGACCGCTGGCACTTTCTGTGAGGAAGGCAACCAATTTATCTAGGAGAAGACTTGGGTGTAAGCCTTTAACCCTATGCCAGACTTTAATGTAGACAGAGATTAGGGGAGCTGTACTTGTAAGCAACTAGAACTACTTACATCCAATTATTTCAGAGAGCATCAGATGGTGGTCAGGTCTTAAAATCTCAAGAGTATTTAATCTCAGGTTCTGAAAGCAATGATATGGTGCCAATGCTTCTGAAAAGTACAGTCCTATTTCCTAAATGCTCCTAGGAAAGTGTGATAAACTTTTAACATTTTTAAAAAAGGGGAGTTTAAATGAAAAGGTTCAAGATTTTTTTTAATAGAGAGGTCCCTCTGGCATTCCTTGATTACAGAAATTAAGTATGTACTATGAAGCCATGAATAAGCTGCCTATGGTTTGAAGACTAGATGTGACAATTTATTTAGTGCTTCTAGCTAAAAGAATATTGCAGCAGAACTAGAACATGGAGTCTATTTCCCAGAAATGTGTAGGATATATTAACTATTGTCAGATGAACCTCACTTCTTCCCATCCATCAAAATATTATATAACAGTCACATACAGAACTTGTTATGTAGGTACCATAAAATTAACAGAATACAGTTAAGATCCAAATATATAAAATCACAATAAAAATACGTCTGTAGCTACAAAAATCAACACAACAAAATGCTAAACAAAATGTCCATATATAGCTAACAACTCATCCATCCTAAGAAGTCTACAGTAATCCATAGAAATTTATTCAATTCTTTTAAAAAACACCCCTGTTTTAATAATATGGGATATTGTGTTTCTTTATCCATAATTCAAAACACCAGGAAATGGCTTGATATTGCTGCACAATATTGTGCTCATATTGCCAGCAGGAAAAAGGATGCCAAATATGATACAGCAAAGGGCAGTATGAAAGTTGGTAATACCAAAGGCAGCAGTCAAGGTGTTCTATAGCAGTGATCCCCAACCATGGGTCCCCAGATGTTCTTGGATTACGACTTCCAGAAAACCTCCCGGTGAAGGATTCTGAGAATTTTAGTCCAGGAACATCTGGCCATCCAAGGTTGGGAGCCACTGCACCATAGGATGCCTTTTTTACAGTTACTACCATTCACAAAGTGACACCAAACAAAAGAAAATCCCAGAAGCAGACTCCTTTTTTCATCAGTTCACCACTTCTCACCCAAACACAAAGCAATTGTCAGAACTGTTTTTCGACAAGTATGACTGGTAGTGAGCACAAAAGGGTATCTTGTAGATCATCTTGACGCCTGCCATTGGTGTTGTTGACATCTCGAGCAGTAATAATATAGCACAGTTTAATATATATATTTATCACTTTTGTAACATTTTAGTAGTAGCCCTTCTAAAGTTAGAGCTCAACTCTGATTTTAATGATAAATGTGTCAATTTTTAGTCATGATGAATGCATTAAGCAAAGATTTCATCCATCTGCCACACTACATTTTTGTTAGAGCACAAAGTCAAAACAGCCACCATGACGACGAAACTCCATTAAGAGAGGAACAAGAAATTATTCTTTATGTTGTGGCAATGCTGAAGAAGGCCAGGCGAGAAAACAATAAATTAAGATTTCTAGATGGCAGAAAACCTGAGCACCGGAAAAGAAAGTTTATACAGTACTTACACAAAGTAATTATGACCATCTAAACGGCCACAAGGAGCCAAAGTGGCTTACAACAATGAAAGACAATATTTAAAGCTGACAACAATGAGTATACAGTGGTGGCTAACATCATTAAACTATATTGTATTTAAAACTATGAACAATGAATAAGGAGGCAACTTACATCATTTAACAGGCAATATTAAGGCAAAGATCAATTAGTTATACAAAAAAAAGTCACTCTTGAGAAATGGAAAACACAAAACACAAAAATGGAAAACACAAGAACTACTAAAAATCTAGTCAAAGAAGCAATGCACAGCAATCTATCCAAAAATCACATACAGGTAGCTGGTTGCCTGAAGAGAAAGGTCTTTTGCCTGCTTGCTTTGCTTCACTGAATTCAATGAGGCTTATGTCACAAGAAGATATGTACTGTACGGGGATTGCAAAACTTGTTCACTGCAAAAACGTACATCCCTCGCCTAAACCTACGTAGCCCATATTGCGCCCCTCCCTCTGCGCGCACTTCTTCGGAATCCCAACTTAAGGACTAGAAACTTTATTCCCTGGCCCTTGCCGCTCTATTATCTCTCACCGAGGAAGGTATCCGTAGAAATCATTGGTCTACTGCTCTATAACTGACTTGAGAGAACCCATTGCACGATTTTTTTAAAAAAAAGTTAAAAATCGATACTAATCTCAAAACTCAGTTGTAAGACAGAGGGAAAAGTTGCAATTTTTTTTATATAACGGGACAAAATCCACAGCAACACAATAACCTGTGGCCTCCCTTTTAAGGGAACGGCTTCCCTGAATCCCCCCCCCTACAACAGCAATAGTTTGCTCCATGCCCGCCTCCTCGGGCTGAAGGTGCCCTATCAGAGTCAAGCTGTGCTCACGCTGCCTAGTTCTTGCTGGCGGGTGGCACGTGGGGGCTTCTCTGCGGTCTGATTGGTCAGCCGCTGGAGGGGTTCGGGGGCTAGTGCCGGCCTGGGGTTAAGACACGGAGTTTGCGGGCCGGCTTTAGGCCGGCGGTAGATGTGGACGGTTGTCGCGGCCTTACGGCGTGTCGGCGGCTGGGTATTGAAAGAGTCCGGAGCCCAGAGCGGCCGTCTTTGTCCCGGCGGGGCTGACCATCGAGGCAGGCCGCGGCGGCTCTTCCGCACTGGGCCTTTTGTCTGCCGCTTCCCCGCCGCTCCCGTCCCAGCCATGCCCGGCAGAGCGAAGGCCTCGCCGGCCTGCGCCCCTGACCAGCCGGAGGACTTGGAAGGCAGCCGCGGGGCGAAAGCCGGCGCCGTCCAAGAAGAGGTGGAAGGGGAAGCAGGAGGGGCCGCCGCCGTGGCTGCGGTGGCCGGCGAGCCCACGCCCAACGTGGGGGACCCAGCGATTGTCAAGTCCCCCAGTGACCCCAAGCAGTACAGGTGAGCGGCGGAGGCGAGCAGGCAGGCCGCCCGGAGGGGACGGGGTGTACACGTTTCCATTTAGGGAAATCCTGACCGCAGGATCCCAGGTGCTGTTGGACTACATCTCCCAGAATCCCTGACTATTCGCCGTGTTGGCTAGAGCTCCTGGGACTTACAGTCAAACAACGTCTGAGTTCTGCCCCTCCTGCCTGCCCAATTTGGGAACCATTTTATCATCCAGAGCAGAGGCGGGCGACGTTTGGCCCTTCACATGCCCTCTGAGCATTGTTGAAGTGCAACAACTAGAGTTCCTCCCTCTTGGATGCCCTGGGCAGGACCTAAGGGAACTGGAGTCCAGACATGGGATCCCTGTGCCACTGGAAGGAAAAGGTGCTCTTGCAGGTCATGACTGCCGAATATCAGCTTGTTGTGGATGAAGCAACAATGGTTTTGGCCCTGTTTTCTGATCTGTTTTTCTGCTTGCAGTGAGAATTACTTTTTTTTTCTAGTATTGTTTGAGCCAGGCTGCAGTTGCTGCTCTCCTGCAGTAGTTTCTAACTGACAAGCAAGAAAAAGCAGAAAGGGCCAAGTTTGAGGTTTGTTTCTCAGGCTTCCTAGGGGAGAAACAAGCCAGAATGCTGAATATTGCTGTTCTCAGCTGTCATGGGGAAAAAGAACATGGACAGAAATCTTTTGACTTCTTAGTCTCTACATGAACAGTTGTGAGCTAAGATGCTAAATCATCTGCAGTAAGCCAGAGTTGTGGTGCCCTGGCTTTCTGTGACATCTTTGTTGTTGTTGTCATCATCATCATCATCATCATCATCATCATAATAATAATAATAATAATAATAATAATAATAATAAGTAGTAGTAGTAGTAGTAGTAGTAGTAGTATGTTGCATTTCTCCCAACAAAGGAACACAGCATAAAAAATTCACACAATTAAAACACAGTAAGTTAAATACAGTATTAAAATAGAAATTAAACAATATATGATTTAAAATAAGTTCAAAAGATTAAAACATGGAAAAGATGAAAATTGTTTGCCAGTATTAAAAGAGAAATTAAACAATATATGATTTAAAATAAGTTCAAAAGGTTAAAACATGGAAAAGATGAAAATTGTTTGCTAAAATGGGGTTCAGGGATTCACTTGTAATTGTTAAAAGCTTGCCTGAAGAGACGGGTCATTTCCCCCCTCCCCCGGAAGGATAAAAGGGAAGGGGCCGTCCTCATTTCCCAAGGGAGAGCGTTCCATAGCCTGGGAGCTGCCACAGAGAAGGCCCTCTGCCATGTCCCCATCATTTGTGCTTGTGCTGGCAATGGGACCAAGAGGAGAGCCTTTTCTGCTGATCTGAATCGCTGAGAATGCACATATAGGGAGATAGGGTCCTTCAGGTAGCCTGGACCCAAGCTGTATAGGGCTTTATAGGTAATGACCAGCACTTTGAATTGGGCAAAGAGACAGGTAGCCAGTGCAGTTCTTGTAACAGGTGCGTTATATGCTCCCTGTAGCTGGCCCCAGTCAGTAGTCTGGTTGCAGAGTTTTGCACCAGCTAAAATTTCCAAAACGTGTTCAGAGGCATCCCCACGCAGAGCGCATTACAGTAATCCAAATGAGATGTAACTAAGGCATGTGTCACTGTAGCCAAATCCAACATCTCAAGGAACAGGCATAGCTGTTAATGGATGTTCACATTTAGTACACATTACTGTGTAAAGCTCTTCTTTGTAGGCCAGCTAATATCTTTGTGAAATGTATGTCAGTATACAGTTTTCTTTTAAAGGGGGAAAAGTGCTATCTTTATCCCCCCCCCCCTTACGTATAGATAAGGCATTCTGCTTTTCCTTTGGTATTTGCTGAGGTTTGTCTGCAGGGAAGTCAGTTGGCATTTATTTATTTATGTAATTTATATACCACCCAATTAATGCTGAAGCACTGTTCTGCACAGTTTACAGTTAAAAGTTAAAAGCTCCATGAAACAAAACACTAAATTGCAAACAATAATAAAACATAGCCTATAAATTTAAATAAGCCATGGCAGTTTCCAGACTGAAGCAGTGATGTGAAACGATCATCTCAAAAGTGTTGCTAGTTCCCCTGGAGGTTTCTGATCTAGCTACAGTAATTCACGTATTCTGTTCAAACTATTATCATATAGTCTCCATAAGGCCACATTTGAATAATATTTGGAAAGTTCAGGTGACTTCAGAGTGCTGCTGTCAGGCTGTTGACTGTTTCAGGGAGTATGAGACCCACAACTTGAATGTCAACAAATCTGATTCTAGACACAGCTGAATGTATTGGTTTTGATCTGTAAACTGTATATGATTAGAGATGAAGTTATTTCAAACACTGTCTCACATGAGGATGCTGTGTTTTAAGATTTATGAAGGTGAGAACGTCTTAGAAAAGGTAGTATGTTCTTTCCTATTGCCCTGGTAATGGATACAGACCTTTTTATTCAGATAGGCCCTTGATATCTAAGCTGAAGTGTTACAGAGTCTTTGGGTAGTGCTATTTTCTTTTTGTTGTGTTTCAGACATTGAATAGAGATTTAAAACAATATATCAGTTGTTTGATTTGGTCACTTTTGGCTGTCTTGAGTGCCATTTGCTGGCAGAAAAGCCAGGTATAAGTAAAATGTATAATAATGTGTTGCACAGTTTTTGATAAAGAAATTATTTTTCCCTTCTTTTAGGTGTTTACGGTTCAACATAGTGCCGAATCCTTTTAGACAAAATGTTTTTATTGTATCATGACTTGGTTCCTCCAGCTGTCTGTTGCCTGCAGAAGCAAAAAAAACAGTCTGCTCTCATACATTGGCCAAAGAGGCAAGAGACACCAGCTGTTATTCAGTGCAAGAAGACCTGGAAAGAGAAATCAATTTGGCAAAATTGGATATAAATGTCCATTTGTAGCTTCTCACTTTGTTCTGGCTGTGAAGGCCACGTCTTCTCCCTCTATCTTTCCTCTCTCCTCCCCTTCCCTTACATGCCTTTTCTTTTTCATGTACACCTTGTGTCATTTTGTCTTCAGCTCTTTCTCTTTAATTGCTGTAATATAATAATTGTCCAAGGAGTTGAAGCTACAGTAGCACTTAGCGGAGTTCAGCTTGCATGAGAGGAGGAACCAGAACATTGATGATTGGGATTCTCCCTCCTTTCTGTGTCTTCAGCATTACAGAGTACTGTGTGGAAAAGATTGTCAGTGCCACGAAAGACAACCCCCACAGAGAGAACTGTGTGTGTATGTGTGAATTAACTGTTTATGCTTTGCAGTTACATTTTTGAGGGCGTAAGAGTTATACATGAATTTTGAACTAGATGGGGGTCCAGCTCTTCTAACCCAGCATTGTTAAAAGAAGTGTAATTTTACAGATTTGATCAAAATGTGACAATCTGTTGTTTAGCAGATTTTATGGTTGAATTAGTAGTTCATGGGGGGCATCTGTAGGTAAATACAGGAATGCTACATTTTAATTTTTTGGAATAGTTGTGGGAAGCAATCAGAAGATCAATCTTTTGCTGTGTATACATTTTCTAGGTACATTGAGCTGCAAAATGGCATTCGTGCATTGCTGATTTCAGACCTGAATAACCCAGATGGTAGCCCTTGCACAGCATCTTCAGAAGGAGAGGATGAAGATGACTCTGAAGAAGGCACTGATGAAGATGATGATTCTGGAGCAGAAATTGAAGATGACCAAGAAGGCTATGAGGATGAATGTGGTGGCTATGATGAAGACCTTGATGACCCTGACAGTGACTTGGAAGAGCTAACAGATAAAGAGCAGACAAGGAAGAGGAACTGCACAGAAAAGCAGGCATGTATAATTGATTTGGATTGGGCCATGATGTATATGGCTACACACTAATTTAGGTCACTATTCTGCAGTATGTTGACAAAAGATATGAGGACAGAAAAGTACTTTGTTGCTTCTGTTCAACTTTTGGGTACCACGATGCCCCAGTATTCCTGTTCAGTATACAGTTGGATGAAAAGCATTACTTCATCGCTTGTCTTTTGTAAACTCATTGATAGTTCAGCAGCCAGTAGCAGTTAAATCAATTTCTGGTTTTGAAAAATGGGCCTTTTTGATGTTAAAACAATGCAGGGGACTGTAACCTATTTAAAAGATGAATTGCTGTTTCTGGTGGTTTCTAGAGTGGGAATTTACCTTTTTTGCCAGGGAGAAATACATTTTGCTAGAGATGGGGAAGTCTGGTAGGACAGAGGCCTGTAAAAACAGCCCTGGAGGGCTGCTTGTGTCACCCAGGCTGCACTTTGCTCACTCCTATTGTATATAGATTTGAGCCATGAAACTTACATTTTTACTGAAACTGTAGAATCTGGTATACTTGAGAATTTGTTACGTTCATATGTGATATGTTAGCAGATTTTGATTTTTAAAAAATGTATTTTAATTCTTTCAGTCTGCAGCTGCTCTTTGTGTTGGTGTTGGCAGTTTCTCTGATCCTGAAGATTTGCCTGGGCTGGCACATTTTCTGGAACATAGTATGTCTTTGTTTAAATATCCTCGCTTTGTGTTTCTAGCAAAATGTTTATGGTCTGTAATTTCACAGCTGTAGAGGTCTCTACACATGCATAATAATCAGAACTGTGAGATTCAGTTTGGTTGTTTCCCTGCTTGCATATTTGTGAGATTAAATATTTTATGTTGTTTGAATAACAATTATTAAAAAGATAAATCAGAAGCATCCTCACACTACTCTTTTAACTCTGCCAAATGTGTCCAAGAATTTTGCCCAGTGTGGTTATATATGCTGTTTTCCAGGTTTCATCTTCACTTAGCTTTACAGGCTTAGAGTATTTTGAGACATGCACATGCAACTAGCCACATTACATTAGGCTTAGTTCAATTTCCAGTATGGTGACATGGTTGAGTTTATATTCAGTAGGCTCTCAATGGCCAGATCACTTTTATGATTGATTTAAATCTGTATTATTGTGTTTGATATTGTGAATTAAGCCCTGGAATATTGATTATAGACTTTGGGCAGTTCCTTTTTTTGGACCTAATTTGTGGAGAGATGAGCACATTTTCAGTATAACTCTAAAGCGTGGGGAAGATCATATGTAGTCTACTGTAGAAGTGCAGTAGCTCCTTATAGAGAATTTAAAACAGAACCTTCTTTCAAAGAAGCATTTGTAGTACCTGTCATCCATCTGGCAAACCCTCATCTACCAGCTTTTTTCTAACTAGGGTGGATGTGGGTCCAAACCCCAACTACTTTTTTTATAATTTTTCCAAGTAATTTGTCCTTATCTTTAAGCTAAAGAAAGTGATTCATTAGGCAGAGAAAAATTCTTTATATAGCACCTAGCCAAACTAAATAAAAGGGATAAAATGATGTCATGATTGTGTGTATAAGGAGGTGTTGCTTTCATTCCTGTAGGAGACATTTATTTCCATACTTAGAATCAGGAGCCATCTTTTTAATTTTGATTTTTGTTCTAGTGGTTTTTATGGGCAGTGCAAAATATCCAGATGAGAATGGTTTTGATGCCTTTCTGAAGAAGCATGGGGGCAGTGACAATGCTTCCACAGACTGTGAACGGACAGTTTTCCAGTTTGATGTGCAGAGAAAGTATTTCAAGGACGCTCTTGACAGGTATCTTGTTTATTCCAAATTCAGACTTGGAATTGCCGTGAAGGTCATACATGTATTGATTTTTGTTAGAAGAAATAATCAAGACACATATACAGATAGCACAATTTATGTTGCAGCTTAAAATATAATGTATTTGAAGCATTTGTCTAAATATAGGGGAAAATGTAACTGTGTGAAGGCTGGACATATTGACATTGTGGTTTGCTTGTAACTGTTACTGAATTTCAGTTATATGTTAAAATTGCAAGCAAATAGCAATGTCAGCATGTTGTAAGTTGCTACATTTCAGTATTTAAAAATTAATATTGGAAGCACACTCCAAGGTTGTAAAGAAGAATTAAAGTTTACAGTATATTTCTGCTTCAGGTGGGCACAATTTTTTATTCATCCATTAATGATCCAGGATGCAATTGACCGGGAAGTTGAGGCTGTGGACAGTGGTAAGAATTCTGATTTCAGTTGTCATTTGATCTTTTTTGTTTTTAAACACATAACTTTGCTTGTCATCAAAACATTGGCAACATTTCCAAGAAATCCAGGGGACTTTGTTTTTTATTAAGTAACTACAGACTAGTACAGCAGTGTGGTTTGTAAAATTTACTACAAGTCTATTGATGCTTTTCAAAGTGACTGATGGGTAAGATAAAGTCAGAGTAATGAAAAAGGAAAAAAAGAGTTGATGCTACCTGATATGTCTAGCTCAAAATATAATAAGGAAAATTTGTTCATATCACTTTATTATATGTTGACTTGAAACCAATATTGTAATAAGCTGTATATGACTAGCCTTGCAGGTTATCCTCAGTTTGATATTGCATATTGGAAAGGTGCTTCTATTTAATAGCAAGGTTAGGTCAGCATGTGCTGTTATTCTGGATATCTCTGTTTAGAGCCAGTAACTCGTGGCTGGCACTGACAAAAGCTAATTATCCAGACCATCCCTTTGTTATGTGAATTGCCATTAGCCATATCTGTGCCCCATAACTGTGGAGTTCATAGACACATGCTTAGGCATGTAAGTTGTAGAAATGTTTATTCATCAGTCAATCCTAAAAACACACTCAGACAATAAACTCCCCAAAAGTCATTATATAATGAATACTGCATAGACTGAATCTCTTTAAGCATCCTGGTCTAATATCAGTTACAATATTTAAAAATTTTGTAGCCTTAACAAAAGAAAGACAATTCCCATTTAGACATATTTCCTGAAGGTTTACTTTGGATCTACCAGGAATCCATACCAGAATTGGGTGCAATATTCTACCCCTTGCACTGTGGGGATAATCCTTGTTCAGGAGGTATATCTTGGAAGGGCCCTTCCATCAGTGTTGAGAGCACAGCAATAACCCTTGCTGAGACAAAAACTCTCCTCTACTTAAGGACTGTCACTTGATTTAAATAAGCACATTAATTGGTATAAAAACATTTAATTGTATTGTTTTAGGGGGGCGGTATCTGTTGGACAGAGCTAGTAAATTCTGTCTGTCACTATCAAAGTTCTTCTGTTTTTTTAATTAATTTGTTTTCTGTATTGTTATCTCTCTGATGCTGTGATGAACCAAGGCCAAGTGATTAAATGTTTTGGATCACAGTTTTTTTTTCGAAGAGAGGAAATGTGGATCATTTATTGTCAAGGAGACATAAGAATCTTCAGTTTCACTACAGAATAGTTGATTTAAATAGCAAGTGGTATAGCTTAGTGAACATAAACCCACCTCCAAGTTAGGATTAGTCCCAAAATTTGAGAGCACCCAGAATAGATCTCAAAAATTCCCAAACTGCTCCTCCACACAGAAGCTGAGAAATTAATTTTAAGTACATGTGTTAAATAGTTTCAATATAAGTCCTTCAGATCTTATTGAGCAAATGGTGTATAGTAGGATTATATTCCTGTATTGGTGTTAAAAGCCAATATTGCTTTGAATCTAATTTTTTTCCCTTTTTAATAAAACAAACCAACAGAATATCAGCTTGCAAGACCTTCTGATGCAAATCGAAGAGAGATGTTATTTGGAAGTCTTGCCAGGTCTGGCCATCCTATGAAGAAGTTTTTTTGGGGTAAATATATCATAGTATATCTCTATAAATGCACAAGGTTGGAACTAGTTGGAATCTTATTTTAAATGTACCCAGACAATGAGGAAGTTCCATTGGCCACAATCCAAGTGGGTTTACGCACCCTGAATTCCAAATTATACATTAACCTAGCAAGTAACTATAATCTGTTTATAGATGATATAGAACACAGAACCCTCAGGGTGAGTTTGTGTGGTACCATGAGAAGACAATGCCTGTCACTTGCCACAAGCTGCTTACACACAGAGTATCCTGACATTTGTATCTGCAGTTGTTAGAGAAATTTGCTGTGTTCTCCCATTGCTGTTCCATTGAAGCCCTCTTTCATAACTGCTTTATATGTTGATGTTCACATTTTGTTTCAGGCAAGCAGGATATGGGGTGGGGGACATGTGTGAAAGCAGGAAAGACAAGAGGAAGGATAGTGAGATGAGGATGAGGGAAGCTTTTCTTCCTGTTGCTAGAAATTTCTCTTTCTGGCAGTGGAGGAGGAGAGGATAGTTGGACTGGTGGCCTGGATAATGTGTGGAATGATGCAAGTACATCTTACTAGACAGCTGCTGTGTTTTTGTACCGGTATGTGGATAACTTTGGTAGGCATGGTTTTGTTTTTGCTTGGGCTTTGAATTCCTAATTGTTAATTCATTTTAGATGCTTATAAAGGATGAGAATCATTGCATTTTCTGATCAAAAGTATAAGACTTTCAGATATAATGCTTTAAGTAAAAGCAACCTGTATTTTTAAACATTGTTTACAGGTAATGCAGACACATTGAAACATGAACCAAAACAAAATGCCATTGATACCTACACCAGACTGAGAGAATTCTGGAAACGTTATTACTCTGCACACTACATGACATTGGCTGTACAATCTAAAGGTAATGTTTGTTCAATTCACACTAGAATTGTGAGTGATGATACCCTACGTTGTATAGGCTGCAGTCCTGTACACCCTGGCCTCTAAGCCCTGTGACATTCAGGACTAACTTCCTGAGCCTTTTGAAGCTCAGGGGTAACGTAGGCATACATAAGACTGTTATAAATCAAGAAATATTGGGCTATATTTTTCATTTTAATATTTGCAGTCTAGTTAATCTTGATAAAGTAGATGTTTATTTTAAATACATTATAAATACAGAGTATAACATTTTCCTTAGGGGATACCGGATATTCTATCATTTTTGAAAGCAGGTTTGTGTTCACGTACAGTCATTTCTTTAAGTTTCATCATCTGCATTACTTGAGGCAGAGAGACAAGACACACACTATTAATTATTCTGAATGAAGTTTCCTGTGTTGAATGAATCATACATGTTTTAATTTGTTTAGTAAGAGATGCACATAATCTTAAAATGTAATATCTAACTTTTCCATGTTTCCAGTCTGTGATATGGAGAAAACGTGTACATCATTTGGGGGTCCAAATTTATCATGTGCATTTTCCTAGTAATTTGTTTCTCTTTGCTAAAACTGAGATTTCTTTTTCTCAGCACGGAGGGAAGGCTCTTCCTCTGTTCCCAGTTATCTCTTAAGGCCCAGATTATATATTTACAGCTCTGGTGCAGAAGCAGCTTGAAAAAGCCAGTGTATGTTGCAGCTAGCACATGGAAAATTTCCATGGTGCCACCATTATCTGCCAGCAATGAGAGCAACCGAATTCAGTAAATCCTGCCATATGGAGTCTGTTTTAAATGCTAAGGGCCTGTGACATCAGTTCTATCCGGTTTTGGTTTTAGCAAGATTTAAGTGTTATAGTAATCTTGGGAAGCTGGTAGAGTGACATAATTTCATCTCTTCAGCTGCTACCTTGGCTTTCACTGCCTGTTGTAGCAAAAACAAATTCTGCTGAACACAGCTGTAGACCCAAGTGCAAGCCCAGGTATTATTTAACTGCATTGAAGGAACTGGGTCTCTAACCTTATGAAGCTTGGACGCCTACTGTAGCTAGTTGATAAACAGAGTCTTCATCTTAGAAACAAACAGACACAGATATCTGATTTAGAATGGAATAACCTGCCTACAATAACTGGGTAGGTTTTGAAAGTTACTGTCGTCTTCCTGAGAACATGCTTCTTGCTTTCTATAAATTGGGTATTGATTTTATTTTCCCCCTCTTTAGAGACTCTGGATACGCTAGAAAAATGGGTATCTGAAATCTTCTCAGAGATCCCAAATAAGTAAGAGTATTTTTCTTGTTGTTTTCATGATATATAAAATTGTATGCATCATTTGATTGCACCTTGTATGTAAAGTCAGAAATTTGATTTCATCCTCTCTCTCCCATAACTTGGCTTTTGTTTCTCACTTCTGTGCCCCTCTTATTTCTCCCTATCTGAATGCCTGGGGAGGATTAGTCAGGACGTGTTTGCAATCATAATATCACAAATTCTGGGTCTCCTAATATCTGTAAAATAGCTTAGAGGGTGGAGAAGTACATATTATCTGTAGGCAGTTTTTATTTGGGAGTCACATGTAAAATTAGGGTGGGACCTTGGAAGCTAGCATTACAACATGTCATTGTTGTCACAACATATGTTCCTTTGTGATACTGGTTTGGATACTGGCTAAGAGAGAACCTGTGCTTAAACTGGCTAGGTTCTTGCTAGCTCCTTTCCCATATACAGACACTGAGCACTAACTTTATCTATTTTCAAATTAAGATTCTTGATAAGCATGTCAAAAATATGGTGATTTGTACAGTATTCCCCCTCCTCACCCCATGCCATCATGATAAACTACAACTTTTTCTTATTAGTTAAACTTCCTTATTTTATAGGATAATTATCTATGTTTCTAGATAATCCTGTGTGTTTATTAACAAGTACACAGGATAATAGTGCAGATGTACCATATTTTTTCTTGTATAAAACGACACTTTCCCCTAAAATAATTAGAGGGAAAATTGAGGGTCGTTTTATACACGGAAGTAAAGCGGGGGAGGGATCAAAGTGCTTTGATTCCTGCGTTCCCCCTCCAATTTCTAAGTGGAGGGGGAAAGCGATTCCTGCTTTCCCCATACACTTTTTGCAACAAAAGTGTAGGGGAAAAGTAGGAATTGCTTTCCTCCTCCACTTTTGTTGCAAAAAGTGTAGGGGGAAAGCAGCTTTTTGCAAATAAAGTGTAGGGGCAAAGCATGTTCCTCGCAAGAAAGTGGAGAGGGAAAGCAGGAATCAAAGTGCTTTGATCCCTGCCTTCCCCCTCCACTTTCTTGCAATGAAAGAAATTTTTGGTTAGAAAAGTAGGGGGTGTCTTATATGTGGGGGTGTCTTATACACGGAAAAATATGATATTATATTATGGCATTATACCGTATTTTTCGCTCCATAAGACGCACCTCCAAATAAGACGCACCTCATTTTTAGGAGAGGAAAACCGGAAAAAAAATATTCTGGCAAATTCATAAGGCAGTAGCAATAGATAGATGTTGTCACATCAATTACCTCAAACTTCTTGCAGTGTACAACACAGTGAGAGCTTTTGAACAATTTGTAGTTGGCAAAGTTATTCCAATAGCCACAGACAAACAACACTACAATGCTTTATATTAACCACCAAGGAGGAACAAAATCCATGTCTTTCTTGCTACTGGTGTATTCTCAAGCATGTCATTTCACAAGTCATACATGTACCAGAAGTGGAGAATCATGAAGCAGACTTCTACAGCAGGATGACCCGCAATGAGTGGGAATTACCAACTCAAGTTTTGCCACTTATAATGAATTGTTATTGCACTGAAAGAGATGAATAAACAGATTGTTGCTGGGTAGTCAATAAGAGCTATGATGAAGAAATCACCACCAGCACAGGT